TTTCGATGTGTCCTTGTCATTCCTTTCCACGTCAAACAGTTTCTTTCGAAACTATCAGCCTTAATTCTCCGAAAAACTGCAGATGTTTAGGAATCAAATTAACTTACCTGTAATACAAAGAGGCTAAAACTAACTCCAAGAGACGCGTTGGTATTAGAAAGGAAATCGTTAAAACTAGAGTTGAGGTCAGAGCTGATACTGATGTCAGTAAACATGCGGTGAAGCTTGTTAGTGTATTCATAGCCACAGGCGTGCTACAAGAGAAAAAAATGTAGGGCAATATAGCTGAATACAATAGTTTGATTAGTTTTAATAGAAAGTCGACAGCAATCCTTAATTGCTTTACCGTTGCTTCATTTCCCTGGTACCAACCGATCAACCTCTCAGGACTGAAACTGTAGAAGTTTTATTTGTGCGGTCAGATTTGATATCCGATTAGTTCGTTCAAAGAAACATCGTCTATTTCGAATTGTTGCACCTCAGTCGGTTTAAGATTAGATCAAGCTAAAACTGAACAATTTTTGTCGGATAGCACATTTAATAATCTTTCCAAGGATATATAGTTTATGGTGGTTACGCTTCAAACAGCGCGTTATAAACCTTTTTTTCGCGAAGGACACCCGTAACGGTCTACCGTATCCTCAAGTCACGCAAGCGTTCTCACCTTTAAGCGACTTATCATCCCCTCTTCAGCGTCCATTGAAACTGAAAGTGTGTGAATAAGTCTCTTTGCTAACATTTTGGAGTAGAACTAAAAAACAAAAGGATCATTCAAGGTAATTGCGCTTTTAAGAAGTGCAGCACATTCTATGTGGAGAAGCAATGAAGCGAATTCCAAGCGTTCGGAAGTTACATGTGCAAAAACTCACCTTTTGAAAAATGTCCTTGTCATCAATATATTTAAAAATAATTATCTATGAGAAGAAAAAAAGTAATAAGAACAGTCTTAACATCAACGAAAAATAGAACATTTTAAAATTGATTGTGTGTAGGAAATCCTTCATCAAGTAAATGTCTCGTGCGGTCTTGAATTTCTTGTTAAAAGACAAAGCTTATTCCATTGCGGGCATCCTGTTGATTTACCATTCTGTTTTGAGCTTTACTAAAATTTTTCACGTTTTTGAAAGACTAAGCGTCACTGGCTTGTGTAGATGTTTATAACTCCTGTAAGAAAACTTGGTTCTGTCGGGATGAAAGCAGTTCACCCAATCAAGACAACGTCCGCGCATGTGTAGACGTTTGACCGCTGTGTTTGCGGGTTAGAACAATTTTTCAAACTAAAATTTTACTTGTGGTTGTTTATTCCACATTGCAATCTAGATCAACTTATTACCTATACAAATCGTTTCTATCAGTCACTACAGCGATATGGAACTTACGAACATTTTCCCTTAATTCTCGGTTGGTGGAGTCAATAGAGCAAATCTACGCCAGGAATACCCATACAAAGTAAGCCTTACTTAAGAACGTAGCTAGAATAAAAATGATAACTTACAATATCACCAAGTTTTTCATCTAACTCTGCATCACTGAGGTTCTTTGTACTCTTTTTCAGAATGGAATCGCAGTATTTGGCAAGCTATTAAAACGACAGAGAAGACAAAAATTTCAAGACGACAAGAAATGTAGCTAAAACTCACAATGCAATATAACTACAATACAGAAGAGAGCAATTTCCAATTGAGTGTCGAAAGTAATCTAGGAATGCTTTCTTTTTGCTTCACTTCGTTATGTGATTGGTCCAGAATAAACTCGCGCAATTTTCTCAGCCAATCAGATTCAAAACTAAAACCAATCGAGACTGGGTCACCCGCGTTTTTCCCGCGCTTCAGGCAGTTTGCTCGTTTTTACTTGAGTTCTTACTGGCTCCTGGTGATATTTTCCTCGCTTTGATTGGCTGTCGTTATTGCTTTGGTTTGGTTTTACGACACTCGATCGAAAAGAGCTCCAACACTTTTTACGACTGTTTAAAAACGTTAGATCTATTACCAGTTCTGGAGATTTTGAAGAGCGTTTAGGATCATGCCTATAATTGACTATAGTTGCACACGCCTGGAAGAAGAATGAAAACGAAAAAAAAAAAAAAGACCACTGGTGAATTAAAAGTATCTAAAAAGGTATACTTTTCGCTCAGTATATAACAGACACAACTTTAAACAAGCTTGATAAAAAACTCTTCATTTAGTTTCATAGTACATGGACATGAACTAATGACTCACCTTGTCCAATGCTGATATAAATGCAGGATCGTCCCTAAATGTATCCTTGATGAGATGTGAGAATTTTCTGTGGATTCCCAGTAACTCGTCTACATATTGCTGTGGGCCCTGAAATTGCACGCACATGAATACCTATGACTCATTAGCATAAATCTACTGGCACTCTATCACAAATGCTGCAATCTGATTGGCTACGCTGCTCCCTATCTATTCCTTGATAGATGCCAAAACTCGAAAAGTTTGTAAATTTTCTCGTGTTCTCCCGACATCCCTTGTGGGTTATTACGCCGGTAAATCGATAGAAAGAGCGGTCTATTGCTTTTAAGCATTTAAAAAAGTAAATCTAATCCAATTGTGAACTATCGTTCAAGTGAGAATAAATTTTATGGAAAAGAGAAAACGACTGCATGTGCGCTACGTAAGAGGCTCACTCACATTCTCAACTTTGACTGATTTGATTGCTTGGAGACCTACAAAAAATAACAAATAAAGTATACGCTTTAAGTTCTAAGTTTTCGTTGCATATTTATGGGCTTACATTAAATAAATAGAGATTCCCATAACGCACTTCCAATGCGTATTCTCCCTCCACAGGTTATTATAAATTATGAAAACTAGGTAACACGAAAAAAGAAAAAAAATATGTATGTGAATTTGTTACCTGTCTTCGTGATGTGCTCCTCCAGTTCTGTCACCATGGCTTGCAATCCACGAGGAATATGTTTCAGAAGTGTAAACAGCTTTGAAAGATCTGAATAACAAGAAAAACCAAAGATCGTTTACGATACCTGGAGAATCATTTACCAAATTACGAGCGAGTTTCATTTCTGGTGTGATAAATGATACAATTCAACCAGAACACAGTAGACTTATATCAACCTTTTAACCCTCAACAGTGACTAGCATCTAAATTCTCATAGCAGTATCACTGCTGAACCAAACATCGACGTCATGTAAGTAAAGCAAATGACCGCTAACTAAGGAACCTCTTGATTGTTCATCAAATTCTCTTAGTCACGGTCGTCAGAAATAATAAAGGACACTGAGGAGAAAATGCACACTGATGTAAGGGTATACGGGGTTAGTGTTACACCCTGAATTAAGCGGACGTCGCCTGAAGTCCCGATTTTTCTTCCGTCCATCAAGCGGACGAACACACTTCATTGAGGCCCTTTTGTGACCCAAAACCGGGGGAAAGCGGACACCTCATGATGTTTGCTATAGAGCTTTGATACAAGCAATGAAATAATTCCCACTGATGGACTGCAATTTTAGTAATTCTAGAAAAGAAGCCTGGAAATATTTAGGCTTCAACCAAATTCGAATTTGTGTCTCACAGGTTCTGGTTGGGCGCTACTAGCAACAAATCCACACGCTGAAAGCAAGGCAAATTTGAAACGTGTTTGAATCTCTTCGAAGCCTGGATTTATTTCAGGCTTCTTTTATGAATCTTTTTTTCCATCGGTCTACAATGAAAGAATTCTCCTCGATGAAAAATGTCAAAGAGGGAAGATTCTAAGAAGGAGGTTGCAGGACAAGGTGGTCAAAAGAAGAAGTTGCCTTGACAAATGAAAAACCTCCTTAACTTTTACAACAAAAACAATAAAACTGTGACTAACACTGAGTATTTTCCTCTTGCACCATCTGCCGACATTCTATTTGTAAGTAAGGAATATAATCCTCCACCATCCGTGCTTCGCACTCCCTTATCACCCGACTGTAGGACACGGGGTGAAAGAATTTCCTGGTTCTTAAATCCTCGTCCTGAATACGGATGTCGACCTGAAGAGTACATCAAAATGTCATGAATGACATTTGACTTGGTGCGAACAAACTGTAAGGTTACGTGTCACTCCACTAATAAGTCCACTCGCCGATTTCTTTGGTCAACTCGCCGACTTCTTTGGTCAACTCGCCGACTTCTTTGGTCAACTCGCCGACTTCTTTGGTCAACTCGCCGACACCACTGGTCAACCAAGTGACCGATATGTCGACCAGTTAGCCAAAGGTGTCGGCGAGATGATACGTAGGCGAAGTGACCGGGTCCCTAAGGTGAATACGAAAGAGGATGTACGCATGCCAAGCGTGAATCAATTCTTAAATAACGACCTCTCTGGGTATTTCGTGGTTCTTCCTATTTTTTACAGCTGCTCTAGGGAGGTTAGGGAAGTCGATAGGGAAATCACAGTCCATGTTAACCAAAATTACTCCAAAAATTGAAAACTCACACAGTACAGTAAATGAAGGAAGCAAATAGAGGCTTTCAAATAGAACTGAATTGAACTGCAACCTGAACTAAGAAGACCCAAGTACTGCAGTAGAAAGATTGTAATTTGATATAATGGCTATAGAGCAATTGAAGGTTGATTTTCAAAAGAAATAGGTGTTTTTACTAAACTTTTCCCTGTGATTGGTCTAGAAAACTCGTACCACCCTCCAAACCAACCAGATGCAAAACTACAAACAATCTTAACTTGGTGATTTGCGTATTCTCGCGCTTTAAACATGGACTAATGATAGTGAAAACCTTTGTTCTTCTTGGTTGCTGGGATAACTTTGGCTTTGGTTTTATCAATACTCAGTTTGAGAATGCTCCATTTTCCTGTCTAGTGCGTTGACCTAAATCAATGATGTTAAACGGAGTTTTAAAACCTGAACGGTATTTATCATTTTTCAGGGGCCAGGTTTGAGAATAAATCAGTGTACATGCTCAGCATGAGTTTATCATGACCTTCATTACACCTTGTTCTGTGTTATACCTTAGAAATAAAAGCCTGACAAGTGTTATCGGCATGCAGCTCTGCTGATTCTCGTCTGTAATACTCTTTGGTTTCCTTTAGAAGGGATTTCTCAAACACCTCTTCATATAGCTGGAACAAAGTAGATGTACATAAAATCTACTGCAAATTATTTTGTACAATTTAACACAAGTTTATTTTGGGATGACAGCTCAGTAAGTGATGTAAATAAAAGGTCAGCATGGGTAGAATCTTTGATCAGGGCTAGCTTTAGCTGGCAAACATGTTAAGTAGTTTTTTTTTTTTGTGACACAAAGGGATGTCATCCACACAATATGTGTATGACGGTCTATGTGCATCCAGAATTGTAAAATGGCAGTGTTGCAGGTATTTGGTAGTCATGGCATCGAAATGGAAAATTGAGTTGGAATGGATTTAAGCAGTGGTTCATGATTTTACAACATGGCTATTTATCCACTGTTTCCATTTTGATGGAAACAATGGAATTTAGAGTGTTGGTTCATTAGGTTTCTATACTCTGTCTGCCAAATAGCAATTGGCAATAAATGAATCAACTCCTACTGGGCTCAACACTAGTGGCACGTGTGGCACGTGTAGCACGTGTTCGTGCCACTAAGTTCAAATTATTTATTCTGTGTTTTTGTAATTTTCTATTTTATAGTGTTTTTTAATTCATAATGGGCGGCGCCTTGCATGGGACTTTACGTCCCGTTCGCGCCTTCCCTTTTGGGTGCAGTTTAATCTCAGTTTCTCTTCTGTTTTCTATTTCTTATTGTATTATTGTACTTTTGCCTTGTTTAAATATTTATCTGATATGCCCGATAAAGTCGTTAAAATAAAAATAAAAATAAAATAATGGCAGCCCACTAACCACAAACTAGTAGAAATTCAGTTTTGGCTTGTGGTTTTCGATTTCCAGCAGCCAGCCAGTTTGGCTTGTAAACAAACTGAAATTGTCGTATCATCTAAGATGTCACTAGCCACTTGGCTAGTGAGTTGAAAAGTTAGTGTGGAGTCCTTTCCTAGCCTCTTTTTTTTTTTGTTAAAAAATGGAAAAATACACTTGCTCGAATCAAGCAAAAAATATTGCCAACTTACACTAAGAGCTCCTTTTGATTGGTACTGCTGTACTTCAACTAAAACAGGAAAAGAAAACAAACAAAATGTAACATTTTTGCGGTCATTGAGGAAAAGTATATTCCTTTTGTCATGCAGCAAACCATGCCAACCACAAACAAAACAAAACTAAATTCGAGAAAAAGAAAGAGAAAAACAACATGGGCCTCCTACGTCTCCATTGACCATTATGCTCCCAAGATCTCGTAAGCAATTCTCCTTACTGACTGCCATACAATTCTTGTTAAGTTAGTTCAGAGAATTTGGTATTGGATCAACTAATAATCCCATAATTGATATTTTTCTTTATTCTCATCACTTGTCTGCTTGATATTGTATTGATATTGTAAGGAGAAATTCTGTCTTGGTCACTCATGGGAGTTCAAGGGTTATAAAGACACTAAATCGTGGATTCTGCATCTTAGAAATTTCGCTCCCAATTCTTTTAAATTCATCATTAGAAATCAAGAGCAAAATAGTGAGGTAATGACTTGAAGGGAATGAAAATTTCCGTGAGTTATGAGGAGGTTCAATCATTCAGGGTTTGAATTGCAGGGGAGAGAATGAAAGAAAAATATGACAACCGGAGAGTACTGATATTTGGTTTGGACAAGCACAAGATTTGGGTGGGTATGGGTTCAAAATATCACAATCAACTGTACTTGTAAGTAAAATGAAATAGGTGACCAAGCTTACCAAAGGAGAGAACTGTATCATGTACAATGTTCTGGTGTGTGTCTTCTCCCTCACGATCCCTGACAAGATACACAAAATCAACAGTGTACAAGTACAGTGTAAAAGTTTTATCAGTCCAGGTGTAAGTGTTATGCTCACTATTCATTCAGTTATAAAAATTTCCAGAGACACTGTAGCTTTGTGGGACTTCATAATAGAGCACAGGTAAAAAGCAACATTACAATGTAATTCTGTACTTGCATCAAATGTCCCAGTTTCTGCAGCATGAAGTGGCTAGGGGAATGGCTACTTCCTCTCAATTGGACACTACATCTAGTTCATTGCAAAGTCACCTTTGCATCTTATCTGGTTTCCTTACAAGTTACGTGGTTCCCACTTAAACCACTGGGTGGAGAGAGGCAATGTAAGAGTATGGTGTCTTGCTTTATAGTAACATCCCATCCAGGGGTAACCAAGTAGTCCTAGTCATTATTTTCATGCCTCAGAAGCTGGTATACCATAAGTCCCACATGCAGCCTTTAACACAAGTCCAGCTAAATTGTTCTTAAGAACAGTTACTTACCTCTTGACTTCTATAAGTACATGTTCTACCAGGGTTTCTTTCAAAGGTTCTATCATCTTTCTTTTCCAGATGTCTAGAGCAAGCTGGAAAGGAAAGAAAGAAATAAAATGAACTCAGTGAATTTTTCAGACTTGAAAATGTAGAAATTATACAGTGTGTTGAGACTATTTGAAAAATGCTACAATGTAAAATCAAACTCTTGCAATGAAAGAGAAAAGGAGTAATTGATCATCTCCAAAGTAATTATGGGTTTCCCTGTAACTTATGATTCTTCTTTCCAGCTTCTATAGATTTCCCAGAGAATTGGTTTGGAGAATTTCAAAACTAATTGGGATGACAGTCTAACTGATAAGTTTGTCAGCTGTCAAAATCTGTTCACTGATTATTAAGTTTTATATCAAAACAGAATTTAAATGTGCGAAAATACTTTGAGGAGTGAAGAGAGCCTAAAAAAATACAGCAACTTTTACTTACCGCTCCAATATCCATCACTTCTTCCATCGCATCTGGTGAAAACGATGTGCTGTATGGAGACATGTCTCCATAATCCTGCTTTTGTTTCTTCAGATGTGTGTTCAGATAGCTGTAAAGGGAAAAAAACATCTTCATCAAAGGCTAAGAAATGGAATGCCACTAGAGCCATTTTCATCATTTGGGTGCCTTAATTTTGACATCAATTTATTGGATGTTAGAAATCTTCTGTATAAAATAAGATCACAAACAAGGTATTGGTGGGTAAACAGATGCATGGAATTCCAAATTGTGACAGATAAGCTGTTAAAACAAGTTGATTTAGTCTAACTGAATTCATCTACACACTATTATAACATGTAAATGATTATAGTGTGCATTGTCTGATTGGCTAAATCTGTTTCCAAGAAGATGCTTTTATTATCATGTTATAGAGCCTGTATGTTACTAGTTCTGTCATAAAAGCAATAGAATGCATTTTTACCAGGCTCCATAACATGATAAAGCCACTAGGGATGTTGGGAGAAACACTCCCAAGATCTGATTGTTAATTCTCCCTTCTAGCTGGTACACATTTCCTTTGAAATTAATTACAAGTATTTGGCGTTACATCAGGATAAGTTGAAGTATTCTCACCTGTTTGGTGGATCACGTATGGATATAATGCGGAGAAGTTACTGGACTTAGTTCTTATTAACCAAGCGGGAGGTCTGTATGGGAGAATTTTGACCTAGGTCTCCAGTACGGACCAAACGCAGTGAGGTCTGTACCAGCAACCGAGGTCACGATTCTCCCATATAGACCGACCTAGCTCGGTTAATAAGATGTTTATTATATGGCTGTGTCTTATATGCCAATTTTTTATATTCTTTGTACCTTTTTTTCTAGACCAGTCTAGATGTCGGTCTAGATGAGAAAATCTAGCTTTCAATATTGATTTCAGCCAATCAAATTCGAGAATTCAGTAGTTCCCAGTCCTTGCGAGACACAGCCATATAATAAAGGTACATATTAACAACTCCTGAGAGTAAAAGAGTTAAATATTTCTTAAAAATACAACATATATATCAGAACTCACCCAAATAACAGATTCATATAGAAAGAACCTTTGCTGAACTGTGACCAGTGATTGTGGTAGAGACGGAGAATATCAACATCAGGGCCACTGACAGCCTTCAAAAAAAGACAAATTATGACATGGTTATGACCACAAAAGAGCATAAATAACGTCAGTTTACAAATTGAGTAGTTCTTGTTATCTGGCTCAACCTAAATCTGGGTCTTGTTAATTCTAGGAGTATTATTGCAAGTGTATGTAAATATATTAATTCTAAAGGTCTCCACCTTTTTGTTCACAAGTTTGTCAATCAGATACCCCCACCCACATTTTCTCAAGGTTATAGATAAGTTTGAAGAGAACAGTCCGGAAGACCTTTGACACCAGGGGCATTTCATAATTGAAGGGATGCATGGAATTAAGTTTGAAGTTACTTTCAAGGCACCATCAAATTCTACTGAGTTTTAAAATGAAATACAAGAAATTTTGAAAAGAAAATTGAGCAATCTTTCATGAGTTAATTGGAGCTTTTTTCCACATATTACATAAAATATGTTTGTGAGAATATTTCGCTAGGCTAAAACAGTGTTCGACTTGTGAAGCGATAATGATAATAATGATAGTTATAAGTTGAAAAGGTTTAAAATCGATTACATCACAGTTCTATTTTGAGATGCTCTCTCTTTGGATGTTAAAAAAAAAAAACATCTTGAAACAGAACTGTATTTAACAATTATTCGCCGAAGGCGAGGTGAATATCATCGAATAATCCTGGAGACAAAGTTGAGGGGATTATTTGACAATATTCACCAAACCTGAGGCGTATTTCTAAAATCATAACATTTTAGTAACATTTATTAACATTTTATTTTAACATTTTATATACACCACGTGGAGCGGTTTATATTGCATCATATAAGGAACCGCTTGACCAATCAGATTGCTGGAAATTCTTTGCTCAGCTCTGAAATTATACTAGATACATATATACCCCTCAACCCTTTAAACCCTCAAATTATTAACATCTGATTTCTCCTCACAGTAATACTGCTCATGAATCTTTCACTGAGATCATGAGAATAAAGGAATTTGTATTTTTGTATTTTATGAATATTTATGC